TCTAATATTTAGGTGTTATAAGCCTCCAGACCCTCCAGGACCTGCATCTGACCGCCAGTGAGCTCATCGAAATAGACAGACCCGAGTGTCAACAGAAGCTTGTCTATTAGCCCGCCACGACATTTGGCTGATCAGATAAAGTTGCTGCTCATGCCCTGCCGATTGCACTACCAAGAATCTGAAAACTGCTATCTAAATATAGTATTTGTTTATAATACATTTGATTATTTCGAAAAATGGTTTATTCATTAATCCATTAAATTGTAAGCCTTATTAAGTGTAACCTATTTGTAAAGAACCAACAGCTGAATTATGGCCAAAAGTGTAGGCTGGCGTTGTAGTCTTACCACTAGATTGGTAATCTGTTTCACCAATATTTATATCTTAATAAGGAAAAATGTTATATATAATGCGTGTTATACAAATTAATATATTATTTTTATTAATTTTCAATGAATAAATAAAATAAAATAAAATGAACAAAACATATTTTAAATACAAAACAACTCAAAAAGCGATGTGGAAAAATAATTGTAATTTTATTTAAATACGCCGCAGCAAACTCCGATTTAGTTTTTTTCGGTTTGATTAAATGTATTCATATACCAGGCGAGCATAGGTGAACAGTCAGTAAACAAGCTGCGTGGGATTTAAGTAAAAACCGTAAACAAAGCTAAGGTTCACAATAACTAAAAAAGGTAAACAAATTAGGGTCCTCCTATTGGTTGCAATTCAAATGTAAACAAAATCGATCTTTGCGGTGCTTTGCGAAATGTAAACAAGCTGCATTTCTAATGTAAGCAAAAATCAGCTGCTTTCCGAAAAGTAAACAACCTCGGCTTCTGCTATTGGTTATTCAAAATGTAAACAAAGTGATCCTAACGGCGCCTTGAGAGATGTAAACAAAAATCAGCTGCTTAACATGAAATAAATAAACAATTCACTTGCCTACTGCCCATTTATGTTCGCCTGGTAGAATGCTGATTTTAATGGTCGCTAAAAACCAAAATTTGGTCGACGGATTTAGTTGGTTCGCTTTTTCTGCAAATTACCTTGAAATAAATGTATTGAAACACCAGGCGAACATAAGCGAGCAGCAAGTAAACAAGCTGGCTGGGACTTAAATTAAAAGCGTAAGCAAGAAGCTTTGGTTCACAAAAGCTGCACGATCCTAACTGTGCATTTCTAATAGTAAACAAAAGGCTGCATTTCCAATGAAAACAAAATCCACATTTGCGGTGCATTGCAAAATGTAAACAAGGTGCATTGAGAGATGTAAACAAAAATCAGCTGCTTCACATTAAATAAATAAACAATTCACTTGCCTACTGCCCATTTATGTTCGCCTGGTAGAATGCTGATTTTAATGGTCGCTAAAAACCAAAATTTGGTCGACGGATTTAGTTGGTTCGCTTTTTCTGCAAATTACCTTGAAATAAATGTATTGAAACACCAGGCGAACATAAGCGAGCAGCAAGTAAACAAGCTGGCTGGGACTTAAATTAAAAGCTTAAGCAAGAAGCTTTGGTTCACAAAAGCTGCACGATCCTAACTGTGCATTTCTAATAGTAAACAAAATGGGGTCTTCCTATTGGCTGCATTTCCAATGTAAACAAAATCCAAATTTGCGGTGCATTGCAAAACATAAACAAGGTGCATTGAGAGATGTAAACAAAAATCAGCTGTTTAAAATGAAATAAACAAACAATGCAGCTGCCTACTGCCCATTTATGTTCGCCTGGTAGATAATACTGGTTTAAATAGTTTTAGAAAGGCCGCGCCGCGCTGAATTTAGTTTTTTTGTTGTTTTTTCTAGATTTAGCATTTAAGCGCAAACTAGCACGCTTGATGACGTTTTTGCAGCATAAAAATAATTTACGTTATTTAATTATTTAATCGGAAATGTAATTTTCGGTTATTTTCTTTTATTTTAATGGCAAAATAAGTATTTTAAAAATTAATTTGTATAATTAGTATTATAATTATCAATCGATCATGAATACTTACCATATCCATTGGACTAAAACAAATATTTGTCGCGATTCATGTTTTGCTTAAATGAAACCTTTTTATTCGAAAAGCTTACATTTTGTCAAACTTAAATATATTACTCTTTAACTCTGGTGCTATTTGTTTCTGTAATTAATTTTATTTTTTGAAATTTTTGGGTCTTATTTTTTAAAATTTGATTTTATTTACATATTACAAACAAACATGTAAATAAATTTGAACGTTGCAATTGCATTTAAATAAATACTACAATAAACTTGTAGAACATATTTATACACTTTAAAAGCATGCGGCTGCATATTTCTGTTGTTTATTTACCTATTCAGGTGTTAAGCTTGCTTTAATTTGTCAATTTTGAAGAAAGAAATATTTTCTGTATTTAAATTAAGTGAATTTTTGTAAAGGCATTTGCCTTATGCTGGACTTACAATTAATTTGCATGACAATTCAAAGTTTAGGGAGACAATGGATGATTGGATATGACAAGCTATACAAATAAAGGCTTTGGATATATAATAAGTATATGCATATATACAAAGGGGATGTGGACAGATTGCAGATCGACACGCGCTATAGGGGGTTCCAATTTACATTTCATAACACAAATAAATAAATAAAGCATCTCCGGTCCCATAAATCACGCATTCAAGTATAGTCTTAATTAACATGACAAGCCGAATCAACATAGCCATGTCCGTTTGTCTGGATGAACGCCAGGATTTCGGGATGTAGGTAGACTCTCCTAATATTTAAGCAACTCGAGTCCGCCTGTCTGGATGAGCGCCGGGATTTGAGAAACAGCTAAATGGAAATGAAACTGTATTTAAAATTGGAAAACAAATTAAGGTATATAAAATTATTTAATATTATTTTTATCATGTGCGCAGTTAAAGTGTAAAAACTGCCGAAATCGGCCCTCAATATGGAAAAAGCATGTAACAATATTACGAAAACTATTTTGGAATTGATAAAAGAGAACTGCTGAGGATTAGTTGAGAGTTTACGCTGCAAATCAATGGCAAAAGCAATAATAAGAAAGTAAGTATATTAAGAAGTAAGTAAAAGGTAAAACCTCTTATGTGAGTGCTAATCTGGAAGGAGCTATAATCCATTAACAATTTGCTGATAAATTTGTATTACAACTTTGTTTATCGCTTGTTCCTAAATCACGTTAATTTTCTCTAAATAATTACAGGGTATTCCAAAGAAGGGGCACCCGATATTACTATGAAGAGTAAAGTTGATATTTGACAAAGGTTCAGAGGGAAATGTAACTGCACCCAACAGTAGTATCTTTCCACACAAAACGAAACGTCCATGAAGGGAAACGCCAGTCAGTAAGCACATGAAATATTAGCACAAGAAAAACGAGAAGCACAGAGAGAAAGAAAACGCGCAGATAGAGAGAAACAAGCCAAACGACGCTTCAAGGAAGAGTGTGTATGGACAGTCCGCGGGCTACACAATTACAGAAGACATACTCGAATCCACACACAGAGCGCAACTTGCCCCAACCTGCAGCCCAACCCCAACCCCAACCCCAACACCAATCCCAGTCCCAACCCCATCCCCAACCGACTGACAGTTGGTGGCCGTTTCTTGTGCAGCGAGTACCTTATCCGAGCGGAAAAGAATTATTACGTTGGGTTTTTTTTCTTTTTTCTTCATTTTTTGATAGCACACGCCAGTGTACTGTCCTGTCTAAGACACGCAGGACAGTGGCATGGCCCGCGGGGGTTCCTCCTGGGCACTCGGGCGGCAGCTGACGACGCCACTGACCGAGCTCGCGAGCTCTCGAGCACGCCGCTCACGTGCATATGACAGTGGAGTAAACAATTTCATTTCACACAGGGCCTGAGACTGGGCCGGGACCAGGGCCAGGGCCAGGACATGGCCAAAAGATAACTGCTACAAACGAGACGCATGTAGGAAGCTGCCGCAAGATGCTGCAGCAGCAGCAACAACAAGCACAACAACAACACTTAAACATTTTTGTTGGGGAGCAGTACGCGGCAGCATAAGAAGTTGCGTAAATATATTGTCCTGTCGCGTTTCCTTTTTAGGTTTTTATTTTTCGGAGGGTAGCACTTACAGCTGCGCTCCGTTCGTCGCGCGGACATCGCCATCGGCTTTGGACATTTGGGTGGCAACAGCAGGACGAGGACAACGTTGGAGACTGCGACGCAGTTAGTCGAGCGTAGTCGCAGCACATCCATAAATTTTGCACGCCTTTTGTAGGTAGGCGGCATACACGTGGCCGATTCGGAACTGTCAAATTGTTGGCGCTGCTGCTCTCGAGGGGTTGCAGGACGCTTATGAATAAAATAGCTTCTGCAAGGACTATACTTGTGCCGATCAAAAAAGAATGAACGCTGACATAGCCAAGCAAGTTATTATAGCAGGAATTACTGTGTAAGCTTGATGGGAAGGCGTTTTGTTCTGGCTAAAGAAATCTTTGGATATGAATGAATTTTTAACGCATACTATATCTTCAAAGAAAAGACTTTCAGTGCCTTTAAAGGAGTAAATGCTAAACGTCCTTTTAAACTTCTGTTTGTCAAGGGAAACAGGATATTTCATTTCTCGCACTGATACTCTTTGAAATTGCTGACAGGTTTTTAATGAAATTTTTCAGCTTTAAACGCGATTTATAAATAACAAGTAGGAAGTTAATGTCGTGCCAGTCCAGCGCTTCTATATCCCCACTCTTTCTCTCTATTCAATTATTCCAATGGCAGCTTGATTTAGTTTAGAAAATTTAATAACTCACAAATACCGATATTCTAATTGAGCTACTAAACTGGACTTCTTCATCGATCGTTTTAATGGCAGCTATTTGATAAAAGGCATAGGGGCTAAGGTTGTTTCTGTGGGACCCTAATATTCGATCGAATTCGCCTAATCCTATTTTCCCATAATCGTAATAATTTTATTGATACAGCAAGCTTTTGTTCTTAAATGGTTTGAAGTAACTCAAGGGGATCCAGATTAATAAACTCGTATAAATCAAGTATTAAGTGCTATTTTGACGCTTCGAATAACATCTAAAATCGTAGACTCTTAGAAACGCAAAACTAAATTTACAAAAGTTCTAGGCATATGTTGTATTTATTGTAGTTAGGAGGTATACTTGTACACCAACAACTAAAACAATTTGGATTAGGAATTTAGTCACTTATTTTGGCTTTCTTTTTGGCAACAATTCTTCAGTTGATGCTTCACTCTTCATATTGCTGGAAGATTTTTTCCAAGTCATTTAGCTCTTCTGAACTCTTTGAAAGTTCAGGCTGATGCTGCTGTGTGGGCTTGGCCTCAGCTGTTTCCTCAAAACAAGCCTTAAGTTTCATGATGTCTAAATGCGTCAACCAGTCGGTATATTTGCTCTCCTTTTTCGCCGTAACACCCTCCTTGGCGACCTTCTCGGGCTCCTTTATGCCACTAGAACAAGCTAAGACAAAGTTTCTACGGGTTACACGGATTTTCCAGAAAACCGCACTCTTGGCGGGATATGAGATGACGAATACTTCATCGTTAGTCAAGGAATAATTGGGATCTGGCTCTTCCCCAAGCTCCAAGAAGCTGCGCCAATACTTGTGATTCAGCTTCGGTGGCTCATAGTCCTTAACAATGGCAGCAAAGTCCCAAATGCTAAGTAAGCCGTCGTGACCACCCACCAAAAAGATATTGTTGTCCATCGAGAATTCGATTGTCTTGATCACAGCTGTGTGGTGGGACAAGCATCTGGCCAGTCTCTCCATGGCCGTGTCCCATACAATCACATAGCTGTCGAAGGCGCCAGATACCAAGAAACGTCCACACTTCGAAAATGCCAAGCACCTCACCACGTCCTTGTGTCCGATGAGCAAACGAATCTGCACAGCCCGAGTAATATCCCAAATGCGTACTGTACAGTCCTCCGATCCTGTGGCCAGGTAGTGCGTATTGGGATGGAAGATGCAGCAAGTTACATCGCCGAGATGCCCGCTAAGCACGTGCACCGATTGGGTTCTGTCCTGCGTCCAGATGCGAGCGGTGCGATCGTTGGAGCCGGTGGCGAAGTAATATCCATAGGGGGCATAACTTATGCAGGAAACGAAGGACATGTGGCCTGGATAGATGACTACACAGGTCCAGGAGAGAAGGCACCATAGACGAGCAGTGCGATCGTCTGAGCAGGACAGAATGAACCGGTTGTCCGGGGAAAAGACGCAGCCATACACTGGCCCCTGATGGCCACACATTGTGCGCCGTGTGTTCTTCGTCTCGGGCTCCAGCATGTTCTTGTCAACGCCCGCCATGCCAGTGTCGAGCACCTTAAGCCAACAGGCTGATTTCAGCTGGACCAGCTTAGAGGGTGTCAATGAGTATATGTGGATGTTTGAAGATAAGGTTCCAATTCCCAGCATGGTATCGTTCTCCGAAAACGCTGCGCAAAGGACCTTCTCAGACTCACTATTCTCCACTGAATACATATAGACTGAGGGCAGACTATTCCGATTCAGCGTAACACAGTTACGTTCATCATTCCGCAGACGCAACAGATCCATTCGTTTGGGTATGGGAATAAAGACGCGATCTCCCACGGGCAAGTGTTCGTTTACGGGAGGCAGCGGCTCGTTTCTGCGATAACGCCGACCGCGAAGGATTTGACGATGGGTCTCCTTTTTGTGGGGGGGTTCGGGGACTGCATAGAACATCGTAGGTAGAGTTCCCGCACCTATGCGTGGTCGATGCTTTGGTACATCCGGGTCCTTATAGGTAATCAGATCGCAGTGCATGGCAAGTAGTTCCCGTTGCGAGAGCTCCCAGTTCTGCATATGAAACAGACAGTAGCGATATGAATTGTGGGACATATAGATTTTCACTTTTTCGGATCCACTGATTATGTTTCGAGCTCTCTGTGTCAACTCTTCCGGGGCTTGTATTTCTTTGAGTTTATCTATTCGACCCGTATACGATTCATCAAAGTGCCACAGTAGGCTCTCCAAAATGCGTTTACCCCTCTGGTGTTCACTGCCAGCTATAATTCGCAAATAGGTTATTGCCAATATTGGATACCGCAAGGTTGAGACTTCATACATGAATCTATATGGTGCCACCTCCATCATATCGACAATGGCATTAAAGAGTTTTGTGTAGCCGTGGAGCTTGTCCTTGTCTAGTGGCGCGACTGCGAATACTAAATTTGAATTATCGTAGTCTATCAGTCGATCTTCTTCGTAAAAGTCACGCCCATCATGATATTGGGCCCGTATTTTAATTGCCTCCACATTAATATCATCATCCGAGTTGGAATCTTCAGTACCACTTGATGCCGATAAGCTCTCGTTTGATTCCATAGATTCTTTATGATGTGATTTCTTGCCAATGCGCTTAGATTTTTTTGGACGGACTCGGTCGGCAGATGAACTTATTTGATCCGATTCAGCATCCAGCAAATTGAATTTTTCTATAAACTCTGATGGGTTGGCGGTATAGTTCTGAGCAAATAATGCCAAAATTCCTTGCTCATTTGCGCTGCTCTTCATTTCGGTTATAGACAAATTGTCGCTCTCGCTTTTATTTTGAGATGAGATTGATGAACCACTTGTGGAACTGGAACTACTGTCGGAGGTATCGCCGGCATCTTTCTCTATAGCGGCTGTCCGTTGTTTTTCCAAACCAAGCTCGCATTCTAATTTAGAATGTATATCTACAAGTCTTAAAGCTTGCTCTGGCCCTACTTCTCAGATTAAACGAAAATTAATTTTAAAATTATATTACAAAACTAGTGGCTTTATCTAGTAATTACCTGGAGAATTATCAATCGCTTCTACTTCCTGCTCTTGTTGATGGGGTAGTTGTGGAGTGCCTGCAGTTGTTTGCATTTCTTCATTCAATTCATGGGAAGATCCTTGGTAAGATATATGAAGAAATCGATGAGGAAATATGTGAGTTAGGCGTCTTTTCAAAAGGCAACATACCTTCAACTTCACAATTAACATTATTTACTTGCATTGACTCTCTCTCCTGGTTGATGGCGGCCACTGATTCGGCAGCAGAAAAACTTTCACTGGACATTTTCTCAAAGCTTGAGATTTCCGATATGGAAGACGCATAGCTAAGTGAATCGGAATCTTCGGCATTAGACAGTCGTTTCATCTCGGTTGACGTTGTGTTGACGCAAATCTCTTTGTCAGATGTATTTTCACATAAAGCTGAACTTATCTCTTGTTTATTTCCCTCTTTGGCGAAACATTCAGAATTTACAGTTTTATATCGCGCGTTTAATAAATCATTTAAACTATAATTGCCTTCTTTATCGTCGGAGAAATCACTTAACTCATAAGAGCTACTATCACTGTAATCTGATATATCTGGTGCCGCTGGTGAATTACACTTTACTTTGAAACCTTGGGATACTAAGTAGTCATCTAAAGCTTTTGAGGTTTCCCAATCTTCTGGTTCCTCATTCAATAGTTCTTCTGCAAAAAGTTGACTTTTTATAGGACTTTGAACTGACTCTGCTGCTCTCGGACTTGCGTCTTCAGAATTTCCGACTTTGCTTTTATCTTGCGAATTCAAATGGTCTAAACTCGAGCTTGGTAAGGTATTCAAAATTTCGTCAATATCGAAATTCTCAATTTCTGTATGTCCGTCATCACCAACTAAGAGATCGTCTAGATTCAAGTTCTTCAACGATGTGTCTTCCTCTAATCGATAAGATGTTAATGTCCTGCCACCAAAATCGGCGAATTGCGTATATAATGCATTTGGATTAAAATCATCTGACATACCATTTGTACATGAAGATTCATCATGAATGTTGAAAATACCAATTCCTTGTGATAATTCATTTAAATTGTTGTGCAATGGGAAGTTTTCATTATCATTTACGTCAGTACTTTTATCTGAATCTTTAACCTTATCCGCATATTCGGACTCTTTATGAATTTTCTCATCCATTTGATCCAATTCAGCAACATTGACCATTTTATTCAGTTGTGAAACTATATCGTTTGGGGTTTCAGTTTTTGATTTATCCAGCTTTTTCGTTGGAATCTCGTTATGTTCTTTATCAGAAATAGCTACTTCATTCTCTATTGTAGTCGGAGACCCAAATAACTTCGATGGGACGCATCCTACTTTCGTTGCATTCAAAATTCCCTGCACAGCAGCATCAATTGCCTTTTCGACACAGTTGACTTCTGTCAAGTCGAAAGTTTTTTCATTTAAAGCTTCTTTCGCTTTAAATTCGTCAGTAAAAGCATTTGAGGCCAAATTTTCATTTTCAGATGTACTTTCCTTTCCGTGCAAGAAGTTGTATATGTCGAAGTTCTCCATTGATATCTCTCTAGAGCTGTCATCTGAATTATAGAATTCTGCACAATCTACATGGGCCTTATCTTTAGGAGCTTTTAGGTCGTGTGCTTTATCTGGAATTGTACTTTGATTTATTTTATCTAAATGTTGATTAGTACCAACTGTTTTTTCTTCAACTGGGTAAGATTCTTCCAAGCCCAGTGCCATCTGCTTTCGGCCGACTTCTTCGCCACTCTCTTTAGGTGAAGCGTCCATTAATGCAGTAGAATCATCCGAATGCATTAATTTATCTTTCTGATCTGACTCATCATCTGGTGGAAATTCATTTTCAATATCTTCGAAGTAGCTGTCCATAATACCACTCTCTTCCATTTCCTCTCCTAAAATTTCCCTAAAAACAGAATCGAGTTCCCTTTTTGCATATAAATTTAGATCATTAAGGTTTAAAGTTCCTTCCTTTAGGGTTTCTTTTTCCACCCTGGGCTTTTGTAAAACATTCATTATTTCTGAGGAATCAACATTTCTATTTACATGGGTTACTGGTTCAGTGTTTGTGTCGAAGATATTACCTGCATTACAGAGTTCTCTGGAAATGTCACTTTCTGTTAGGTTCGTAACTTCGATGCCGCTGTCACCAATGGTGGAATAATTATTTTCATCTAAAGTGTCATCGTAAAAAGAATTGCATGTTCTTTCAACATCTGAACTTTTTTCATCCAAGCTCAAACATTTTTCCATTGGAGTTTTTCCTTCAATAGAGCCAGCGTGTATTAAATTGGGATTAATTTCTTCTACTTTTGGGTCTGCGAGGACACCTCTATTAAAGAGTTCAGATGACATATCGTGTTCCATTGATTGGTAGTCCAAAATGGAGCATCCTTCTTGTCTTTTATTAAAAAAGTCGTTTAATAAAGAGTTGAATTCACTTTCCGTATCTAAAGGAGCCTCTTCTGAGCTCAGCGAGTTGTCTTTTAGGCTTTCTTCTTCGGCAATGCTTTTAGGGATATATTCATTATTATATTGTGGGGTTACTGCTTTAATTCGCACATCTTGACTGTCATATTGATTATGGTATTTGGTAGAATTATCATTGCTTATGGGCTGTTCATCATTAAAGTAGCTTTCCAAAATGGCTCTTTCTTCGTTTCGAGTTTTTAACATATCATTGGAAATAAAATCGTCCGCTCTATCCACATCTAAATTAACTTCATCCAAACTTAATTTTTTTTCTTCTGGGATTTCTGTTTTAATACAGCCAGTATCATAAAATTTTTCAAAATCTGTGCTATTATTTTCAGAAGTTGTATCGCTTAGGCTGCATGAGTTTTCCAAATCAATGTAATCTTGTTCTGTTCCAGAAGTTTCGTCATCTGGACATTCTGCTGAGTGTGCAGCATCAAAAATTTTATCATTATCGTTCGAGGAGCTGTTTAAATTAATGTTACCTAATGCTACCTCAATATGTTTTAATTGTGGGGTTACTGCTCTAATTCGCACTTCTTGACTGTCATATTGATTATAGTATTGGGTAGAATTATCATTGCTTATGGGCTGTTCATCATTAAAGTAGCTTTCCAAAATGGCTCTTTCTTCTTTTCGAGCTTCTAAAATATCATTGGAAATAAAATCGTCCGCTCTGTCCACATCTAAATTAACTTCATCCAAACTTAACTTTTTTTCTTCTAGGTTTTCTGTTTCCGTTCTACGAGCATCATCACATTCTTCAAAATCTGTGCTATTTTTTTCAGAAGTTGTATCGCTTAGGCTGCATGAGTTTTCCAAATCAATGTAATCTTGTTCTGTTCCAGAAGTATCATCCTCTTGACATTCTACTGAGTAAGCAGCATCAAAAATTTTCTCATTACCGTTCGAGGAGCTGTTTAAATTAATGCTACCTAATGCTACCTCAATATGTTTTAATTGTGGGGTTACTGCTTTAATTCGCACATCTTGACTGTCATATTGATTATGGTATTTGGTATAATTATCATTGCTTATGGGCTGTTCATCATTAAAGTAGCTTTCCAAAATGGCTCTTTCTTCGTTTCGAGTTTTTAACATATCACTGGAAATAAAATCGTCCGCTCTGTCCACATCTAAATTAACTTCATCCAAACTTAATTTTTTTTCTTCTGGGTTTTCTGTTTCCATATTACTGGAATCATCAAATTCTTCAATATCTGTGATATTATTTTCAGAAGTTGTGTCGCTTAGGCTGCATGAGTTTTCCAAATCAATGTAATCTTGTTCTGTTCCAGAAGTTTCGTCATCTTGATAATGACATTCTTCTGGGTGTACAAACCTATTCTCCACAATTGGGCTTTCATCGCTTTCCTTTTCTAAAATATTATAGGAAATTACATCGGCGTTATCAGAATTAATGTTATATTTTTTTGTTCTAGCTTGGAATAATCTTGGCATAGTTGCTTCCATTCTCGTGTCCTGGTTGCCATCTTTATTATTGTGTCCAGTTGATACATCATCTTGTTTTGGGTCGTCTTCTTCGAAGAAGTGGTCCGAAATAGGGCTTTCTTCTTCTCCCTCTTCTGGAATATAGGTAGAAATAGAATCTAAATTGATTTCATCCCAGCAGCATGGTTGTTCATTTAGGGTTTCTGTATCTGTGAAATATTTATTATTATAGCCATGCGTTTTATCGTTTATGCTAAATGATTTGTCAAAATCAGTGTCGTCTTTTGCTATTCCAGCATTTTTTGAGCTTGGGATAAGTGATTCAGTCGTCGATTCTAAAGTGTCATCTGGATAGCGCTCTATTAAAACATTATTTTTCTCATCTAAAATGTCCTTCAAAACAGAATCCACTTTATCTTCATGTTCTTTGCTTTGTAATGTTTCTTCCTTAGTATTCATTTTAGATAAAGCATCAAATGTGCCCGCTCTTTTATCATTAGTATTTTCATCATATCTATTTATTGATCTGTCCACTTCGACTGTAACTTCCATCTGCGAGCTCAATAATTTTTGATTAAGTTTCTCTTCCACAGTTAATATTTCGGGAACAACATTCTTTGGACGATCTAAATCCGTATCCTTTTCATGTACAAAGTTGTCGAGAACTATCTCATCATGCAAAGCATCGGATATATTTTCTGTGGGTTCTTCTTCTGTCTCATTAAATGTTTTGCGAAAAACAGCATCGGCTGATTCTTCCACACATGAATATTCCTCTGCTATGTCATTTACACATTTTGATGAATCGCCGTAGCTCTCTTCTATTTTATTTTGGCTTAACTTTGAAAAATGTTGTTCATAGTGTCTCCTGTCTTGAGCTTCCTGCTCAGACAACATAATACCTATTTCGGAGATATCACAGACATTATCTTTAGGAATATTATCTAAAAATACATTTTCAGTCTCTGTCTCCATTGTGTCTGAAGTAAATGGATTATTCTCTTTGTCATATATATCATCTAAAATAGAAGTGCCTCTTGAAGAACTATCACCTCCGCTGTTAGGGGAAATTTTTCGCTTATTTTTTTTAAGAATGGGTTCTTTTATTTCATTGTCTGTCGATTTTTCTGTCATCTTCAAAGTCTTCAGCTTGTCAGTTGCTTCCTTTTCTTCTCTGGCAACTTCTTCAAACCAACTTTTTATTTTCCCTTGATTTGGCGAATCTGAGAATTTAAAACCATCATCTCTTTGCAATTCAGCTTGTTTTTCATTGTCAAAGATATCATCGAAAATTGAGGTACATCCAATTTCTTCGTCTAAAATATCATCAAAATATAACGAGATTTTATCTTCATTCGAATTTTTAGTATTCTCCTTAGAACTTTCTAGCAGGGTGTCAACATCAAGTTCTTTTACGATTTCCTCTGACATTGGTTTTGCTAACTTACAACTAAGTTCGGTGGGACTAGGATGTCTAACAGCTTTGCTTGATTGTTTCAGATAGAAGCGGAATTCTTCGCTAAATTCTCCATTATCGTCGTCTAATATGGAAGAAGCTTGATTTTCCGAAATTTGCATTTTTTGGGCGCAATCTTTCATTTGACTTTCGAAATGGAATAACTCCATATCGGCCATGTGAGCATTCCAGGAAGATAGCTCGTCGCTATTATCAAAGCTGTTTTTATCACATTCTAAAAAGGTCACTTTTGGTTCTGTTTCAATATAATTTGTGGCCACTGAAAAGGAGCTAAAATTATCCAGTCCTTGATGAAAAACATCTTCACCAATTGTGTTCTTATTTGTCTTAGATAATGTTTTCAATGTAATGTCATTTTCTGTGGAGGTTAATGAGTCTGGATCAAGACTGGCGATCAGTTTTTTAGTTTTCTTCTTAAGGCTTTTGTTTGGTAGATTCTGAAAAAATGTCAAGTTTAAACATATGTGAAGAAAAAAACACATGAACCATAAATTTGCTTTGGTCTAAATGCAAAAATATTTGTAATGTAATACTCACCACTGGCGTATGGGTTGTGTCCTTCTTAGAGTCCTTGGACTTATTATTTGTGGCCCAACTGGGCTGGTTTTTCGTTTCCGCAGTAGTTTCAGTTACCTGTGCGTAATTATTAATGGCAGATACAATGCTGTACCTTGACTAGTACCCCCATTTTACTCACCCCGGGCTTTTTGCCTTTCTCGGTGACCAAGGGTTGTGCATACGGTGTACCGCAGGTAGCTGCTTTTGGATCTGATTCTTTAGCCCTTTCAGCGCCAGTCTTTTTAATTTTTACAACTTTCTAAAGTTTTTAAAAGTATATATGTATGTATTGTTTATCTCAGATACGATTTACTTTTAAGTTACCATTGCTAGTTTAGTTTGGGAGTTCTTATTTATTTCGTCTTTCTTACGCGTAGCCGCCGAGGTTCTTGGTCCCTGGTTAAGCTCTTTAATTGTGTCTTTTATGTTTCTCCCAACAACAGCATTTCCCTTTTAAGTCGTTATTTTTGGCCAGATAATTTAGAAGAATACATTTTACTTACCTCTGCCTTTTTGGCTTGTGCACTCGCTCTATTTTTCTTAAACGCCGATCCAGAGGCGCTCGCTTCCGGATTCAGTTCAATGCCAGCTTTACTATTTCTCTCCAAACAGTCGTTGCTCTATTTTTATGCATAGGTATTGGGGTAAAATATCACTTTAGACGTTACAGTTTTACTTACCATAGTCTTTTTGGGATCTCCAGTGAGTACATTTTTTCGAAACGCTGCTACTGGGCTGTCAGTTTTCGAATCGCGTTCCTTAGTTTTCTCACCTGTTGCTTTCCTATTGCTTCCATTGAAGTTATTTACCTTTTAACGAGTTATGTCTGGGAATCAAACTGCCTTATATACCTGAGGTTTACTTACCACAGATTGTTTGGCTGGTCCATAATTGTTTTTAAATGTTTCTCCGACACTTTTCTTATTATCTTCAAGAATTGCGCTTGGTTTTTTCAACACTTTTTGCTTTTTGGATTGTACACTTTCCACGTTTTTTGGGGTACTCGGATCTGGGTTTTCAACTGTTCCAGTTACCTTAAAGGGGAATGATTTGTAAAAAGGGGCTTCAGTTACCGAAAGTTCACTTACAGCTGTCTTCTTGGCTGAGGTGCTTGGTTGCAGACTAACGGCTTCTATTTGCTTACCAGCGGCTTTTCTATGTCTTTCCAGAACATCGGTTGTCTGTTTTTATGAAAGGTTTTTGTTAGGAAAACGCTTCAGATATCACAATGGCACATACCGTAGCCTTTTTAGGTTGTCCAAAGGCTATGTTTTTCTTCAACGTTGCCGCTGAGGTACTTGATCCGGTATCTAGTTCTCTTAATTTCTCAACAGCATTTTGTTTACTTTTTCCAATAATGTCATTTATCTTTTTAAAAGTTATGGTTGTAAGGAAGATGTATCAGATATCATATATTTACATACGTTAACCTTTTTGGCAACATTTTTCCTTAAAGCTGCCACTGAGGTGCTTGGCTGTAGGTCTAGATCTGTTGATTCTTCACAAACAGTTTTCTTAATCTTTCCAACAATATCGCTCGCCTTTTTAGAAACAGTGATTGTTAAGTAAATTCGTCAGTTATCACAATTTTACATACGTTTGGCTTCTTGGCTTTTCCAGTTGATAAGCCTTTCTTCAGGGCTGCCGCAGAGGTGCTTGGTTCTAGGTCTAGTTCTTCATTTTCCATACTAGCAGTTTTTCGATGTCTTCCCACGACGTCGCTTGTCTATTTTATTGAAATCTTTTTTAATGACTCAGATATCACAACTTCACATACCATATATTTCTTGACCTGTCCGGTTGGTAAGTTCTTCCTCAACGCTGCCGCAGAGGTGCTTGGTTGCAGGTCCAATTCCGTAAATTCCCCATCCACCATTTTTCTGTTCATTCCAACATTATCATTTGTCTTTTTTAAGGTTATGTCTGATCAGAATTGCCGTCAAGTACTAGAATTTTTCACACATACCACTGTTTTTGTTTTGCTTGTCTTCGGTTTCCCAATTGCTTCATCGGCAGTCTTGTTCCCATTTTTTCTTTCAACAGGTGCCGTGGTCTTAGAAATTTCCGTTATGAACGGCACATGAAGTTGTCAAGGATCTCAATTTAACTTACCATCTGTTTTTTTGCGCGTTCGGGTGATATATTTCGATGAAGCGCCTCGGCTGAAGTGCTTGCGCGAGATTTCTTAAACTCGCCATCAGAAGCCTTCGTATTTCTTGCCTTTTCAAGGCCCACTTGCGTTTCAGTCTCATTTGGTCTGCCGCTATCAAAAAGCGATTCCCTGGCACTCTGCCTTGTTATTTTGGCCTTTGTGCGGAGCTTGGGTTTTTCTTGCTCGCTCCGAGCTAATTTTTTGTCACGATTGCTCATTGCTTAGGTCTAAGGTCACAAATCAACAGCTTCAGTACTCCTAGTCTATGATTAGGCAGAAAATTACATTTGACAATTGCAAGTGTGTCCACACCAAAGTTGAAAAACTATTGAAGGCATTTGAAATTATCGATAGTTTCGACTACTTTGTAGGGTTTTAGAGCTCTGCACTTTCATTTATGTCTGTATTGAGATTCAATTCGTTATTTTTACAAATATATATCTATTGATACAATCTAAGACTGCTGGTACGAATAATAATAAAAAAAAATGCGGAAGCATTGATAAATAAAGGGAACTACTTTAACTATGTATGTATATTTCTTTTCGATTTTGATTCTAACCGGTGTCAGAAACGAACTCACGATGGTTCCTGCTAGCTAGTTGAGCTATGTCAGGCCCCTATGTAGATCTTTACAAGTTTCTATTCTTTCAGATATACAAGTATATATTTTAATAAATAAATAGGACTTCATATGAAGATGTTAAATCATTTCAGATTTTATTCGAAAAATGTTGTTCAAAATTTCCGGAAGGAAGCTGAAGGAGTTCTTAGTTCTTAAACCACACAAAATTCCGGCAGGAAAACGATTTAACTAGAACGGTTTGTGTAAAATAATATACATAGTTCTAAAACAATTGCTAGCATAGCTTTGCTCAACAGTCCGAACAGATTCAAACCGTCTCAGTATTGATAGTTTGGTGTTAAAGCCTCAGTGGTGGAGAAAAAGTGCAAGGTAGGGCTGTCAGACTCAATATCCCTGCCAGGGCTGACAGCTTTCTGGCATTGCAATTGATGCTTCGACAGTACGCATTTAATTGCTGCGGTTGCCTTCCCGCGACCCCAACTCCAACAAAAATCTGTGAGGTTCCAGCTTTGTTTTCAGCATTTTCAGCGTTCTTCATATACATATATATCTATATATATATGTATAGTATGTATAAATAAATATATTTTTTGTTCAGTTTCATATTTTTTGCTGCTCTACTCGGTGCTGCTTCCGCACGTCAACAGGCTCGAGGCGCAGGCACATCCTGACGTGTCCTGACGCAACGCGACCGCCGATATGAAACAAAATGCTGGCACAGCTTTGTTACCCAGCCACATGAGGGCACGGGTAGTGTGGCAAGGGGTGAGGACTCGGGTAGTCAGCGCGTAAGTAAAAGAGAGAGAAAAAAATTAATTTGCATACCCAATATTCAACGGATTTTGTACGTTGGTTCCCATGCTCGGCGCCTGTCTATGATTTTTTTCATTGTTCCTCCGTTGTTATTGTTATTGTTGTTGTTTTTTTTTTGTTGCTGTTGTTTTTGTTTCTACTTGTTACTGCCTGATTCATGTAGTCCTAGCAGTATATGCCGGCGCTCTGGCCCGTGTACCTTCGCACTGCCGGGCTGTTCCAATGTTTGAGTTTTGTAGACAGGCAGTCAGACAATATGTTGCTGTTTGTTGTTCATGCAACTCACTTGCATTTGCATTTGGGCAGAAGTTGAAGAAAAAAAAATACATACAAGTATATTGAAAATATGCAGGCCGCGACAACTTTTCTGTCTGCTGCCATATATGTATGTGTATATAGGATATACATATTTTTTCATCAGATTCAGCCGGCATATTGTTTCATAATTTCCATCGTGATTTATTGCAATGGGAAATGGTGAAAATACGCAAAAATTTATGACCCAGACATTTGTCAAATGCCATACAAATCATATATAGTGCACTACTAACAATCAGCGACAAGTCTAAAATATTGTAGGGGCCCGGGGGGCAAACCATTTCGAAGTTAAATATGTGAGCGAATTTTTTTTTAAACTCATTTCAACATTTAGCTCTACAGCCAAGGGCGTAGGCAGGGGGCCGTTGCCCCCCCTACACAAAATGTTTCCATACAAAGTCGACCACACGTTCATTATTATAACTACTATTCGCCACTATTTCGCCTAAGAATGGAACTGAGTTGGATTTGTCGAAGTCTTTTCATTGATCATATGCATAAATTATTTTTTAAATGCATCGTGCATTATTTAATCAAAATTGTAATTTTTTGGCACCCCCTTTGGTAATAGCTGCCTACGCCCTTGTCTACAGCCAATTCTATATGCAGTTCCTAAGCGATTCTGATCATAAAACACATTTTATTCACAATTGAATAACATTTTGTAAATAAATAATAAAAAAAACGTTTGAAGATGTGGATTATTTTTTGGATTGAGATGTTATTTGATGTTGGAACTGAATGTCAGATGTTCGGCGATTGACACAAAATCTAAAGTAATTTTAAACAAAAGCCACGCAGATGAAGACGACAAACTTAATATATGCCTTTGCATTGTTAGTATTATAATATGTAACTGATATCTGACATCGAAGTCCTGGAAAATTAATTTAATTTTGTAAAACTTAAATGTGGTGTTTGAAATGATTCTAAGGAGCCTTTTTTAATGGATTTAGATATATTTTTTACTACACATTTAAATTGAAATTAATTTGTTTAGGATTCATAAAGCTTACTTTAAATGGTCGTTGATGGATTTTAATCTCTTAATATTAAGCAGTTTGATCTCAAACGATTTCATTACCTCGCTTCAATCACATAATCATAGTCGAATGTAAAAATGTTGTGTATTCCCTCAAGCACGATATTTTACTGCTCCTAGTGTGAAATTAAAAAATTGTTATTGTTTAATGATTGTTAAGCTATTTTGATTGATATCGTTAAAATTGTAAGGCATTGAACCTAAGCAAGACATTATTTATGAACTTACTAACACAACTAAACATTTAACGACGCATTAAACAAATTTACTTTATGGTTGAAAACAAAAAGCAACTTTAAATGATCAACAACTGACTTACAATAAATAGGCATTGTCGCCATTGTGGCACGAGTATGAATATGTATGCCAATATTCAAGGAGTGTCATTATATCTGAACAATTACACAAAAAATAGAACCGCAATGCACACAAGCAGGCAAACAAAGCATCATTATGGGGAACGATGACAACAACAAAGGCCGTGGAATCACTTCAAATGGAACGCAGTCATAAATAAATCAATGCACACTGAGAGAGACAGAAAGAGAGAGAGAGAGAGTGAGCGAGATAGGAATATGTATGTATTATGCAACTGCAAAATAATCCATTGTAAAGTGTCGAAAAACTGCAATTGAAATGCAAATCAATGCAAATCGATACTTGAATCATCATCAGCAGCCGCCGTCTCTCTCCACAAACATGAATGATTCATGCAACGCACGCGAGCGACATTCAAATGCAAATTCGAATGGCAGTGCAAAAATTTGCAAACGCTAAGGCGATTTTGCCTACAACATCTACACACACACACACACACACACACACACACACACATGCATGTGAATATATGTATGTATGTAAATATATGTATATGTATATTCTATTTGGCTGAGCTCCAGCTCCAGTCCCAATCAAATCAAAATAAATGCACACACAACAATAGTGGAAAATGCAATGTTCAACAAAGCCAAACAAAACACTCCATAGACAAAGGGAAAATATGTGAAAATCGCTTTTTTCACACTTCCGGCCGTCGCTGTCGCCGCCTCCCCCCGCCACGTCCCGTCCAACTGTTGCTAATTTGATTAGAGCCGGAAAGCGAGAGAGAGAGAGAGATAGAGATTTTCACGTTGCGGCCAAAATGATGAAAAGCTGCAAACGTCAGCGTTTACAGGCCGTACAAATTTTCTCGGCTCTGGCAACTTATGCAAATTTGGCGTCCTGTGATTTATGCGCTGAAGGAGCAAAGCACGGGCTTACAACAATTTTTGCTCCGCTTGGCAACTTTTGAGCTGGGCGCGCCTTTGAGACGCGCACTTCTGTCAGCCTGAAATTCAATTTAAATGTAAAGTGATTGTGGAAAATGTGTTCACACACTCATAAGCGTTGCGCTTTTGTCTGTCATCCCCCTATCCTTTAGTTCCTAGTTCGTAGTTCCTAATTTCTAGCACCGTTAGTTTTGAGTGTTCGAATTCAATCATATCCTGTCATATGTCTTGAAGTCTTTTGTCATAACTGGTTTGTGCTTTTGGGCAACGATAACCTTTTTCTTTTGTTGGCCGCCAGCTTCCTGAATTGTCTCAGCATTTGTCATGCTAATTACGAGTGTACAAGTATGTGTCTGTGTGTGAGAGAAGGTCGTGTTATTTGGATATCCAGGTAGTTGAAATGGGCTTGCGCAGGACTCGCTGCCTTAGTCTGATTTCACACGTCGCGGACTTAAGTGCTATGCAAATGATTAAAAAATAGTTCGCTGGGTGAAAAATGTTAATTGTGGGAATTCGACGGAAGTTATAAAGAAAACCCCATTCACAATTGATATTCAATATTCAAAGTCCTTTTGCTCGAACTGATTTAATTTCCTAAAGTTTACAAGTAATTAGTAAAAGGATATAGAAGTTACAGCGGTCTTCAAATAAAGTCCAAGAAAAATTCCGTCACTAATTTGCGCCAGATCTCCAGTCCGCCTCTAACTAAGAATTCCTAAATCGTTGAATGCCTCGATTATTTTTTTAAATCTCCTCCACCTTGCCAGCTTCAATTTGCCACACACTGTCATATTTTCCATGCTATGGCACTATAAAGAGCATAATTTTTTTTAATTCGCCGCAATGTCAATAATAATTACACATAAAAAAAGAATGCCTTTATGACATTGTTATGTTGAAAAAATGAACACAGCCTCTTAACAAATGCAAAAACAAAACTTAAAGCAAATAAGGACCAGAGGTCCACTTCCTTTGCTCCCCTGTCACAGTCACAGTGTCAGAGAAACAAGGAAACAAAGCTGTATTCGGCCGCTGACGCAATTTAACACCAATTACAATATCCGTTACATCTAATTATTGTAAGCGCGCCCAGAAGGAAGCCACTCGCCAGGACTAAATTAAAGAAAAACACTAAAAAAATAAACATACACATTCAAATACAAAGAAAGCGCGGAAGGCGGGCGACCAGAAGGAAGGAATGGAAGGACGGCTGAATGGCTGGGCTGGGCAGGCGGCACACGACAGTGGACGCCATTTGTGGTTGCCAGGACATTAGCAATGGCAACTACAACAAGCGCAAATGGCGCTCATAAAACAACAGAGCAGAACGGCCATGAAATATGACGGTCGGGCTGGCAGGGTGTGTTTAGATGTAGGTGTAAGGGGGGGCGAGGGGGCGGGTGTGTGGGAAAACATTTCTTAATTTTCAACAATTTACGCTGAAAGCTTTCAACGCTCAAATGACGCGCGCACATGGGCCGTGTCCATCCGTCCATCTGCCTGCTGGTCCTTGGGTCCAACCGCCTGACTGCCTTTTACGAGCGCTGGCAAGGCGACGATGATCTAACGCCATTATTTCCGTGGCAAACGAACGACAGGCAGTTGTTAATGGGGCTTACCACTTAAGCGAGACGGCATAAAATAAACACACACACATACACACGCACACACACACTCATACGAGTATGTATGTGAAGAGAGAAACCTTAGACGCCAAGCTGCCCGCCAGTCTCTTCGTCGGAGTCGTCGTCGTCGTCGTTACGGATGTCCTGGCAAATTAATTAACATGGCGCAGGTTTCTTTTCCTTCGTGCTTTCTTCCTTTTCTTGCTCCCTTTCTGCCCGGCTTCTTGTTTTCGCGGTTTCTGTCCGCTTAATTGTGGGCGTGTTGGCGGGCACTGCCTTTGGGCACTGAACGGCAGTTTAACAATTAAAAAACGTTTAAAGTTTCTTCGGGCGTGTGCTGCTCGCCTTGTCGGTCGAGTTGCCTGCGCGTTTCTCTGATTGCCAGGATGGAGAAGTTTGCGAGGACTTTGAAGACATGGAATTGTGAATACGCGGCACGTTGTTACCATCCGTTTGACACCTTTTGTGCCCCCTGGCCAGGAAATGAGCTCGGCTGTACGTGACTTGGGTTTTGGATGTTGCGGCCAAATGGATGTTGGAAAACATTTGGTTGCTGATTGTCCCCAAAAAACTGTTCAAAACTTCAGCAATCCTCCAATTTGTGTGCATTTAGATAAGTTTTCGCGGCCATATTGTAGAGACTTAATGGAGTCTTTAAGGCATTTTTGAACCCAACACTGTCAAGGTCTTTTTAGGCTGTGGCGAAAATGTCTTAAAATGAATTTCTGACTACGATGAGGCTTAACACCAAAAATAAGCTATAGTATATAACATATATACAAGTAATAGAACTAAAACAAACACTAGTCAACTGAAGTTAAGTAACTACTAGAAAATGCAACATAACGTTTAAAACAAATAGGTTGGTAAGAGTCTAATGATTGGCAAAAAATTTAAAATTCGAACAATAAAAATATCGTAATCAAGTTAAGTTTTTAAAAATTTTCATATTAATGAACATCGATATAACTCAAGTATTTTCTGAAATCATTGTAACGTTAAAAAGAACTGTCAATTTTCGTGGCTAGCGCTAGTTATTGCTTGAATATGAAATATGCATAAGCTTTCGGATTCTACATATAAGTACATATAGTACTCGTATTTTAGAATTATCAAACAAATATTTTTCCCATTTACTCTGCTCAATCAATAAATTAAAAACTAATTCTCACTCCAGATGATATTAGATCATACGACTGGTAAAATTAAAGTTATTTGAACATTAAAAAGTTTTAGAAAAACTGCAATTAAAAGAAAGGAAGAAAGAAAGGTAATGGAAGATGATTTTGATGAATAGTCCACATTGAAACAAACAAACATTTCCCAATCAATAAACATTTCTAAATAATGATTAATAGGAAAGTTATAAAGCCTTTCATATTTAGATCTAATGTTTGGAAGCCAAAAATACTTCTTTATACGCACTACACTTCTTAAAGCCATGCACACTTTAGGGCGGCACAGTTGGTCTTACTTTGGTATAATTCCCCTAATTTGTAGTAGAACTGAAATGACTTTAATAATTGCTGACTGGCTGCATATTGTTAAGCGACCCACTAAACCACTGTCCGTTCAGATTGTCATTACCAGACCCGAGCCCCTCCATTGCTGAGCTGTTTAAAATTCTAAAATTGTGCACTCGCTCAATTTCCTTGATTCACAAAGTAATTACCCAAACAACAGATTTGACATAAATATTTCGGTGGGCTAGCGCTGGCGCTGGGGCTGGCGCTGGCGTGGTCCTGCCGGAATAATTAGTGTCCATTGAACGCAAGGCGGCGAGACGTCGACGACGCCGACGACGCCAACAACGACGACGGTGGCATTATTACGTGCCAAAAACAACGCCTTGCGGCAAGGACGCCGGCAACAAGGACTCGCCGGTGCTCGCACTCGATGTGGGCATAATTGCAATTAAAATGTGCGCCCGCGAAGTGCAAACAGTTTTCGGGCAGCAAAAGAATAACATCAACATTTTGTGCAAATTAAAATATAATTAGAGATAAACAAGCGGCTTGAGTGGAGTGGGAAAAGGACGGAAGACGAAGTCGCTGCCAATTAGTTAGAGTTAGAGGTGACATGCAGCGCCGCCTAGCGGACGGCGGCCGCAATGCGACCGCACACGTACGCACTTTCCACTGGAATTCAATGGTGGCTGAAGGCTGGAAATTAGCGTAACTCATCCCGCGCGTACGTTTCCCAACCACCGATGCCTGCCTGCGTGCGTGCGTGCGTGTGTGCGAGCGAGCGCGACATATGAGGCCGTCGCTGTCGCTGTCGCTGTCACAGCCGCAGCCACTGTCGACGCAGTTAAGCTTCTTCTTCTTTTGCTGCTGCTGCTGCTTCCACCTGGGCAGGCTAACGAGCAAGTAATTTTGTGAGCAGCTAAGGCAGCTAAAGCAGCTCCTTAGCTGCAGCTTCTTAAAGGTTGCCTTGGCTACTTAAAGCCACCGAAGTCGTAGTTGTTGTTGTTGCTGTTGGCGTTGTCGTGTCTTCTACATTAAGTATACGCCGCATACGGCCCATGTGAGCGCGCGCAGGCATCAGGCAGCAAGCAGCAGGCAGCTGGGCTGGCGTAGGTCTGTTGTGAGGGTCGTTTTTTTCTTCTTCTCATGCTCATTGCTGCTGAGGCCACACCTTCTGCAGGGGTGACTGAAGTTAGCGTAATTTTTTTTTTTCATTTTTTCTTTTTTTTTTTCTTTTGTATGTTTGCCGTCGCTTTTACTTTTGTTTGCTTGGATTTTCGATAAGTTTTTTCTGTGTTGCCTAAAACTGGAAGAGAGAGAGAACGAAAATAAAAGTAAAAATTTGTGTATAAATAAAAAATCTACATGCTGTTTGTGTGGGCTGTGTCCGAGGAGAATGGTCCGGAGCGGGGAGTGGAAGGGGGAGGCTATGGGCAGGCACGTTAAGGAAATCTGCTTTATGAAATGTCAAAACTTCAAAGAAAATTTAAGCTAAATGCAAGAAAATGAGAAAATATACACTCGAGTGCGTATGAAATATTTGGCAATGTGCTTGAGTGTGTGTGTATGTGTGTGTGTGCCTATTGCTTGTTGTTGTTCATGTTGTTGTTGTTTGTTTTTGCGCCTTCCGTCAGTTTTCCATTGTCGTGCCGTAGTCGTTAGGCCTACATGCTGTTGTTGCTTCTGGTGCTGTTTGAACTGTTGTTGATAGCCTTTATTAGTTGTTGGCCCAGCTTAAGCGCTTTCCCCAGTTTTCCGTTTTCTTTCTTCTTCCTGTGCATGCGGAATTGGTGTGGGAATTCTCGTGTCTTGTGTAAATAAGTTTCTTTTACTTTCTTGGTCGTCGCCCGGCTCAAAAAAAAAAAAAACAATTTTTTTTTCCTTACGAAATTTTATTAAAAAATTTTATATTAAATCAATTGCGTGCAGTGGCAGTTTTTATTTAGTGGGCAGAGAGGCTGGGCAGTTGGGGGCTGCGTGGGCACACACACAAAATGGGGTGTTAAATGTATTTGAGCGTAAAGCTGGCTGGGGTTCGTGCTTGGGTAGTTTTTCTTTTTGCGATTGAAGGAAGAAACTGAGTTAAGGATATTTAAATAAATACAACAATTATGGGAACTGAAGTAAAAAGATTATTTCAGACGTTTAATTATACATGGATGTGATAGAATGGTGATCCTTCATTTATTTCATTAGAAGCGAAGTAAAGGTAATTAAAGCTTAAGGACTGTTTTAATCCCCTTTAAAAAGGTTTGTCTAGGTATTGCTGGACATACGCTTTTAAAACTGAAATCATTTTATGAAAATACATATACAAGTATTCTCCTGGGCATTTAGTTAAGCTTTATTTAGGTAACCATAAGTTAGTTCCAATAAATTCGTTTATCCTAATAGGTGGACCGTGAAAATTGTCTCACAATTAGTTTGCTTTAAAATGTTACTTGTTTCGCTTGAATGTACATACAAATATCAAAATAAAATTACTGACCTTAAAAGGGAGTTACTCCAAAGAGATTTCCCAATTTGCGCCACGATTTAGAAAATATCAATTCATTTGAGTTTAGTTTCCCAATCTAATTTGTGTTTTGGTTCTGGTTGTAAATAGTTCTCATTACATTTCTTTAGATCTACCTATTCATACCTATTCATTATCTTCCATTCAAGTGCACTTCACACATTCTCATTTATAATTGGACCGTTGAACTCTTAGAGTTAAGGCCAAAGCCAACGCACGTGTATTCCGACATAGTTACAAGTATAAATAGGTATAGCAGCTATAAATTAAATCATTTAATTGGATATATTTGTAATAAATAAGTACAGGCTATTAAGTACAGATAATTATTTAATTGGAGTCCAGTATTTATAGTGTCAATATTGATATTCCTTTTAATTCCTGGCCTATAAATACTCCCACACAGGGCCAATTAATCACAGAAGTAGCGTCGTTCCCATCATGGCTGAGTCCGTGGCCGACCGTTTCAATAAAATAGTCTCCGTAGTTCGTTTCTGTTTGCGGGTCTGCGGCGCTGATGTGTGCGATCTGAACTATCGGATGTATTGGTTGACTTATTGCGTTCTCGCAGCTATTTTCTTCTTCTACGCCTGTACCGCCTACACTCTCTACGTCGGCGTGATACAAGAGGGAGACTGGACGATAATGCTGGAGGCTTCTTGCATGGTTGGCTCGGCCATACAAGGTCTGACAAAGCTATATTTCGGGGTCACCAAGGGCCATCTCATGCAACAAATGGAAGCAATTTATAAGGACATCTATAAGACATATGAGAGACTGGGAGGAGAGTACAGGGAACAGTTGATAAAACGCATCAAAATCACAAAAGCACTGATGAACGTATTCATGTGGATCTACATAATACTGGTTGTCGCCCTCGTATCCCTGCCACTCTTCTATTTGGTCGTTTTCAAAGAGAAAATGTTGGTCATGCAGTTCCTTGTTCCAGGCATTGATCGGAACAGTGATGTTGGCCATTTGATGCTTCTCAGCCTGCACACAATGTGCCTTAGCTTTGGAGCTTTTGGCAACTTTGGCGCCGACATGTTTCTGTTTCTGTTTGTTTCGAATCTGCCCCTCCTGACGGACCTCGTAAAGGTGAAACTGAAGGACTTCAATGAGCTTGTTGTGCAGCACACACGCTACAAGGAAACTCGAGCGCTTCTCTGGAACATTTTTTCTTGGCATCAGAAATATGTCAGGTGGGGAATGCGTTGAGGGCTCAGGCGCTTAAATCTCTTTTTGAATTACAGATTACTGAGCAGCATGGAAGAACTTTATAATGGCATTATGTTTGTTCAACTCTCAACTTCCTGTACTGGTATTTTGTGCACCATCTCGTGTATTTTCATAGGGGTTTGGCCTGCAGCTCCAGTATATTTGCTATACTCGGCCTCGGTGCTCTACACATTCTGCGCTCTGGGAAACTTGGTGGAACTTTCGGTGGGTCGATATATATTTTGAGAATATATTTTGAGAATATATTTTGAGAATTCTCAGCAATAATCACAACTCAAAAATTCCAGAACGAAGAGTTTGCTGAGGCAGTCTATTGTGATTGCATGTGGTACGAACTGCCCGTTAAGGATCAAAAACTAATCATAATAATGTTGTCCAAGTCTCAGAACGAAATACTTCTCAGCGCTGGCGATGTCATGCCCTTATCCATGGCGACAGCTCTCCAGCTAAGCAAGGGCATTTATAGTTTCAGCATGTTTTTGTTTACATATTTGGAGTAAAGTCAATAATAATTTATAAACACTTGCTAATCAATATTGCAAAGAGTTACTTTAATAAGCCCATGAGAATAAGCCCAGAAAAATGATTTTTTTTTTTGTGAAATTACATACTTAGTACTTAATGCCTAAGCGATATTTTAAGCAATTTTTTTTGTAGCAATAATAGCTTTGTCGCATATTTATGTAAAATTGTTAATTGAATGAACAATAAATGCAAAGTTGTATTTTAAACGATACTAAATATTTGTAAACTCGTGTACATACTAGCAAAATAAATAGGTGTTTTATTTTTTTTTAGTGATTAAATAGGGAAACATTACTAGTTGTATCTGGCTAGTCAGAATAAGAATCTATGCAGCGCATACTTTAATAATTTGTTTATTTCATTATTGATACGCCAACTGCTACAAGCAAACTTTTTTAAATATCTAAGTGACATTAAGGCATTCTAGAAAGAGTTAAATTAAACAGTACATAAGATTTTAAAAGGCCTTGAAAAAAAAACAATTGTTCTCCTATTTTGAAGTGTACATTTTTATAATTCAAGCGGTCTTAATGACTATACTTATTGACTATAATCTGGACTGGGTCAGTAATATGCTACTATTGGAAAGCAATTGAGATAACTGACAGTTCTAATAGGTTAGCTGTAAGGCTCAAGCTGAAGGTCAAATGCGCCACGTGTGAAAGGTTACTTTGACTTCATTAAAATTTCATCTACACTGCTACAAATAAATGAACCTTTCACATGCATAGAGAGCTAGTGAGGAATTCATTGGAATAATAATAGCACAGAAAAAGGGAATATGCCAATATGTTGAATTAGCTATTAAAACTATTCTTTCTATTGAATAATTCAATAATTTCGCTTGTGAGTTAGCTTGCCGAGCTATTAATATGTCCATAGTATTGAAGCGATGAGAAAATTTATAATTAAGTTGCCAGGGAATCTCGACTAAGAGGCTTAGACCAATAAAGGTTCAGCTTGATTTTCTCTAAAACCAATACACTCCCTGCAATGATATAGCCATTAATTCTAGTTTCTAGCCAGATTATGATCAGCTGCTATTATCAAGAACAACACATTTCACACTCGAAAAACCATTTAGTTTTTTTGCTCCTTGTATAGACCAGATTTCAAAAGTGTTGACTTTTTCTAAGGTTTTACAGGAATACCAATAATGGTAATACATGCATACATACATACATTACTGAAGATTACAAATAAGTCGTGTAAGGTACACCGAATAGAAGTGCGCAATTTATTTCATAAATACGTACGCCTCATTAATTGAGTTACAGTTTCGTCCTTGGACAGCCCATTACAATTGCATTTGTCACATTGATGCCTTAAGTGGTTTTTTGCGATGGGACACTTTTCTTTATAAAGGCTGTGCTTTATTGGCCTTACATGTTGTGTCTAAAAGCTGCTATGGCCTCAACTGCAATCGGCAACTTAGGCTCTCTGGCGCGGTATCGTCGCATTATAGATGTGATTCGTTTGTGCGCTCGCTTTTGTGGCACGGATATTTCGTCTCCGGATTGGCGCTGGAATTGGCTCACTCGATTGGTCGTTGTAATGATCTTCAGCTTCTACACTTGCACAATTTACACTGTTTATGAGGGTGTTTTTGTCCAGAAGGACCGGACCATTATAATGCAGGCCACTTGCTTTCTAGGAGGTGCCGTCCAGGGAATGACGAAGATGTTCTGCTGCATATCATATCGCCAGGCACTGCGCGAATCGCAGGCGTTGCTGGATGCCACCTTTATGAAGTATGAGCAGAAGCATATGGGATATCAGCAGGTGCTGATCGATGGCATTGCCATGACAATGCGTGGCATCAAGTCATTCGTAGTCTTCATTGGAATCGCCCTTGCCATCATTATTGGGTTTCCCATCAGCTACTATATTCTTTACAACAAAAAGATCATGATTATGCAGTTACTTGTGCCCGGCATCGATCCCAACACCAACACTGGTTTTCTAATTCTAATTGGTGCTCATATTGCGTGTCTGTTTCTTGGGGCCTTTGGAAACTTTGCTGGAGATATGTACCTCTTCGTTTTCATCAACAATCTGCCGATGCTAAAGAACATACTCGGCTGCAGGTTGCAGGATCTGAACGATTTATTGGATGGCAACTGTAGCCAGGCAGAACTGCATGCCGAAATGGTGAAAATTGTGAATCTGCATCAGCAATACTTGAGGTAAGATAAGCACTATTGGACAAATAGTATTTCAGCACTCTGTAGAGAGCCTGTATTGGAAATTAATAAACCAAATGGTATTGCAGTCCCGAAATTTTAAATATGCATTTATAATTAATATTTCTGTACAAGTTATTGAAAGTCTGTCTGTGTGTCTGTTCGGAAAAAATGGATAAAATGTTGATTCATTTATTTAGGTATTAGAAGGGCACATAATTCTTCCCAATTTTTAGTTTCTTAAAAACTCAATGGTATACAAAAACACCGAATATTTTGAATCAACGAAATAGAAAGAAGAATAAGTGTTATTAAAAAAATTACAAAATAATGATTATTTTTTAATTTTATTCATTCGCTCACAATTTAATGATTAATTTTGAGTTTTACTTTAAAACTTAACCAATAATCATTATTGATGAGCAAAAAAATAAAACTTATAAAATAATGATCAATGATTTTGATCAAAAATAAAACTCAAGCTGAAATTGTGTCTATTCCATGAGGATTAAGGACATAATTTATAATTTTTGATTAATTAAAAAATTAATTAATTAATTAACTATTTTTTAAATCTCAAATGCGAATGTATGTAACAGACAGAAGGAGGCGTGGCAGATCCGACAAAGTATATATATTCTTGATCAGCATGACAAGACGAGTCGATTTAGCCATGTCTGTCTGTCCGTTCGTCTGTCTGTCTGTTCGTCTGTACAAACAAAATGAACTCACAAAAGCAAGAATAATTATATTGCTCATCAATAATGATTATTGGTTAAGTTTTAAAGTAAAACTGAAAATTAATCATTAAATTGTGAGGGAATGAATAAAATGAAAAAAAAGAACATTATTATGTAATTTTTAATACAACACTTATAATATTAGCAGTCTCTTTTGTTTTTACGTATATTTTCTCCAATCAATAATATTTTTGGAGTGGTGCTTAGTTTTTAAAATAACCCATAGTTTAGTGTCTGGCCATTAGACTGGAACAATGCTTTGGTTGGCTCAATCAATCAATATTTAGATAGTTCTCGTATATGCTTAAATAGTGCATCGTTAGTTAAATGAAATAAAATACACGTTTATCTCCGTAATATTGTCCTTTGCCTTGCAGCTTGCTGGAGCGTTCGCAGCGCATTTTCTTTCATCCCATATTTGTGCAGATCTTTGCGACCGCCTCCGGCATACTCTGCACCATGTTCTGCTTGGTGATGGGCGTGTGGCCGGCAGCTCCAGCCTACTTGGGCTACGGCATTGTTACCCTCTATTTCTACTGCGGCCTGGGCAGCATTGTCGAGGCATCGGTGAGTAGCGAATGAGGAGATTTTCTGTATTGGTCCTCAGTACTGGTATATGGTGGCTTTGAATCAGAACGATGACTGCTGCACCATCATCTACACGAAGTGCCAGTGGTATCGGCTGCCACTCCCATATCAGAAACTGCTGCTGTTCATGCTGCACAAATCGCAGACCATGAAGAATCTAACCGTGGGCAACATGATGCCCCTGTCGATGACCACGGCTATGAACTTGTCAAAGGCGGTCTATAGTCTGCTGATGTTGTTGCTGAATAACGCCGACGATGTCGGCGGCAGCGTCAAAAGTGAGTGAGCTGCTGATTAATTATTTCATCTTCTTTTTTTCCTCATTTTGTCTAATGAACTTGCAGCAAAAATTTAATAAACTTTGCTCGCTTTATGAGCCACAAAATAGCTGCCGTCTGCTGTCGGCGCATGAAAAATAGTACAAAAAAAAAAAAAAACAAAAAAAAAGCAACGAAGACAAAAATGAAAGAGCGATGCTGGTAAGTTGTAAAAATTGTCTTTTAATGCCTTGAAAATCCAGCAGATTGCCACGTAGTGCTAATAAAATAAAGTTATGCGCAGGCATAAAAAAGAAGCGCACAACCACGAAACGCAGCGAAAATTGTGAGAAATAGTGTGCGGGTTTTTCTTTTACTTTGCCGTTAAAAAGTACATATATTTTGATATGCTTATGTACATATACATAGATCTAAGTATGCTCGTACATATAGTATACTGTACGTGTCTAGAGGAACTTCAGGGCTTCAAAAATGGCGTAAAAAATTTGAGTGCGCGCGCAAGTGTTGGGCACGGGCGGTAAACGCATCATTAATCAAATGTCCGGCCCGTAAGCACCGTTATTCATCATTGTTTCTGAGGCCGGGAAGTGCCCTCCACTCTAGAAAACAGGGAAAATGGGCGGTTTTCGACTAGCGAGTTTCACTGCACGCGATTGGGTTTTGTGGTTACAATTCACAAGTGGAAACATCAGATCCTCAGATAGTTAAAAAGAAAGTTGGAGCAAGTGCTGTTTGATCCATTTGAGTTTTTCCAAAATGGAGAACAACAAATATGTAGTTTTCGAACCATCGAGTTTACATGTATTTTTAATTTAATTACCATTAAATACCATGAGAAACTTATCAAAATTAAACAAGGTCATTGTTATTTGCCTTTTGAAGCCTTGTTTTATGTTTTCTGTTATTTACTATAATACTATAGTTTCAATCTTATCATCAAAACTGTGTCCAGTAACTCTTTCTAGTTTTGTTAGCGGCCTATTTTTGCCAAATTAGTGACCGCGAGAGGGAATATGGAAACCAAGAGCTATTAATTTTCAAAGCTACTATTAAGGTTTGAATTCTCTGCATTTCGTGAAAAAAATATTATAATAAATATGTATATGTATAATTTATATAAAACTATCCAACTAATAACATTTTAATAGTTGTGGGCAATTTTTGTTGGTCTGCAATATAAATAAAATAATAATTTCTTATATCTTTTACAGGGTATTTTCATTTCAATGCAAGCCCGCAAATGTCTGGAGATTATTGTTAAATTTTCCAATGTAAAACCAAGTTCTAAGCAAAAATATTGCCACACACACCCACACAGACGCTAAGCTGACGCATTAGAGGCATAGCCTAAGAAAAATCAGCTAAAAGTGAACTAAAGAGCCACCCTAATGGGTGCATATCAATTTGACTCAATGTCCTTATATTGTTGCTTATTTCAATTTTTTTTTGTTTTTTTTTTGCTGGGCATTTCTATTATATAGAGTTTTTTTTTGATGGAAAAGAACTTGTTTTGTGGTTGGCGAGTAAATTTTAGGCATCATAAATCAAGCTTATATTTCAAAAAATCATCAAACACGGCACAGTTTTATTCTCTTCGTCCTGTTTTTCCTTCGTTTTGGGTGAGTGTGTGTGTGTTTTCCTTCGAACGCGAACGTTCGTTTGTGGCAGCCAACTGTCCCTCTAATGCTAATGGAGTTTTTACATTAGACGCTGCGCTTGTTGGCTGTTATCACAACAATATCAAATGCTGCTCTACACCCCTTCAAGTGTCAGTTACATATTGTCGACGGCGAACGCAAAACAAAATGCTTCACTTTCAGGAGCAGGAAAAACACGGAGGATGCTCGAAAAAAAATCAACTAGAAAAAATGGGAAAAAAGGTTGCTATCGTACAGCCAGTCGCTGAGAGGTCGAAAAAAAAAAGATGAATTAAAAAATTTGCATACGCAGCAGCTGAACAGGATGCGTAGAGGATGCTTTTTGTATGGATTGTGGTTGTTGTTGTTGCTGTTGTCTGTGCAGGAAGTGTGCAATGAGTTGCTGGAAAACGAAACGAAATTTTTGTTGGAGAAAATAGCAACAAAGAAAAGTTAGAAAAACGCCGCCATTAATTGGTGCAAACGATGTGTTATCGCTGTTCCGAACGTAAGGTAGAAAAATGTTTCGAAATAGTCCGCCAAAGGATTCAATGAATTTTTTTGGCGGTCGCCAGTCGCCAGTCTCCAGTCGATGGACAGCTGACAGCCGTCAGCCAATTTCATGCACTCACCCTTTAAACTGGTGTTTTCTCGTAAATTAAATAGAAATTATATGCAAATTCAAATTGGGTTTGTGATTAACCCTAAAAGAAGAGGCAAGTAGAGAAGGGCATCAAAAATATATTCGGTTACACGTAGTCCCCTGTCCTCATCCGCGTCTCTCTCTCTCAGTCTCAGTCCCAGTCTCAGACTCAGTCTCCGCTCGACTTTCACATCACGTCGACGTGTTTAAGTACGCATCATTTGCTGTTTGTTGTAATTTAATTGGTTGGCTTTTAATTTTGCAGCAGGTAGCTCGGCCGGCGGCGGCGCCTGCCAATGAGGCAACTAATTTATGCGAGCGTCTGGCAAAGGGTTGTCAACGACTTTTACTTTCCATACACTGTACCAGAAGGGTTCAACGAATATGTCAATTAGGTGGAAATGCAAGTAACATCGCTGGCATGATATAAATCACCATTTAACTACCACCTTCAAGAAACATATCCAGAAGCTATCGGAAAACATCTGTCGAAAAGCTAATGTTATCGTAGCTTCTGGTAATGATTCCGAGAAACCAAACTGTTAATGGCTCTTTCCAATCAATTTTGAGAACTTGAGAGCCAAAGGAAGCAAACTTATATGGAACAAAATATTTAGTCTGTCCGCAAAATCCTTGATAATCTGCTGAGAAGTTCCCATTAGTAACGAAATGCTAGCAAAATTCTAAATCTTAAATGAGCAGCAACAACATTAATTATTTTCAAAATTAACTTCCACTTAAAAGAAACAAAGAAAAACAATTGTAATATATTAATGGACGTATGTCTGGGAATATACAAGTAAGAAATAATACTGGAAAATTTAATTATTTAATTATTTGTATTTGTTCTGTCTTGCATTAGAACTCTTAAAAAAAAGTCCCGGGAGCCGCATTTTCTTTATGAGAATTCTAAAAAAGCTCAGTTTTATGTGGACATTTTTCTTAATCGAGAAACATCTTAAACTTCTTCTGGATTCATTATAACAACAAAAATTATATTTGAATTTTCCCAGTACTTTCTGAAGAACAGCGGCTACAGAGTATCCCCTTCTAGCATAATTATCTGCATTCTTTCTACTCCTTCTGCTGCTGCTGCTGAGCTGCACGTGCAACGTGTGGAAGCGCTTGAGAAGTCTTCCGGCTGCTGCTGCGGCTGCCTTGCTTTATTAATTATTATTCTAATTAATAAGAAAGGGAAGCAGGGAAAAATACAGCTTGTGAGCGACAATTTGCATATGAGTGACACAACAGGACATTTGCTTCCTGCCACGCAGCAAGGCGGGGAGACGGAGGCATTGACAAAGGCAGAAGAGGCACGTCTGAGCGACGGGACACACATATTTACATACATATGGAAAGAGCATTTGCGCTGCATTTTTCTTTGAAGGCATCGGAATTGTCGCTTTGCTCCTCATGCATAATGCAGGCCAACAATCGAATCCGCGTGAGAATTTCCAGCAATAAATGAATTCAAATCAAACTACAACCCAATAGAGCTGACAGCAGCTGCTGTTCATTTTGTAAATCCCCAATTTTAATTCGTTTCCAAATGCTTCAACACTTTGGCAACTGAAGCAACAGGCCAGACAACGAACAACCCACAACATGACTATTTGCGGAATTAGCAATTCAAAGGATGCCGCCCTATCGATTGGCGAAATCGCAACCCCTCGCCTACCTGGCACTGATACTTTGCTGCTAAGCGGCTCTATTGCAAATTATCCTTTGTGCCTTTTTTGTTGTTGTTGTTGGCACTGTTATGCACTGTTCCGATGCAGTGAAAGGCGTCAATGGAATGGAATTGCAACCCCTGGCTGCTATTTGCCAATCGTATCGATTGGCTCAGCGTTTTGCCAATTGACGGCATCAAATGTCAAAGCAATTAAGTCGCAAAATCGACTCTCGACCCATCGACCCCTAAGCCGACTTGGTTTGTGTGTCATTATCATTGTCATGTTTGCTAATTCCCTTTGTTGTGTGTGTTTCTGCCTCCCCTATTGCCTTTTAGCGCCTATTTTGGCAATTTCACTTTCACCAAAACAATTGTTCTGCGGCTTTCCCTTTGTCGTCGCAAAGGACGAACCCAAACAGAAAAGTGTGCCAATTTGTTTGTCACCTCCCCCTCTCCTTCTTTCCTTTCAATTATGACGTAGTTTTGACAACCTCTTGAGGGAGACTTTTGTTTTAGATTTATGGCTGCATGTGTTCCTTCAGGAATACAAAGAAAGTGTGAGCTTTGGCAGCATTCTAAATTGCTTTCATCGTAACAATCCTGGGGGAAGTATTAATAGTAATAAACATAAAAACCCAAAGGCTTAGCATCGCAGCACAAAATATCGCTCTAATTAATTAAGTGAAATTTTTAATAGGGCTTAGAGAGCATCATTTATGTAGAAAATATATAAAAAAAAATTTGCCTTTTTTGTGGGTTTTCTGAATATGAGTTTCAAGTAAAAGAAAAATGTGTATATTTTCAAATTAAAATGATTAAATCTTTTATTTTTGTAAGGAATTTAAACAGTTCTAAATTGGTTAATGTTATTAATATAATTAACCCTTCTGATTTGTTAAAAAAAAACCACACCAAGCAGCGATCGATATTTTGTTTGATAATACGCATATTCAAAGATATTGTTAATGCTTATCAGAGACTTCAAATAGGCAATACCAAATGACAGATGTGATATTGGAATAATAGTGGAATCATAATAAAATTTTCTTTGATTGT